AATTCAGGTTTTTATGATCAAGTATAGCAGCAGCCCTATAATTCATCCCGCTGACTGAGATTTTTTATGTTTGTAATAATAAAAATTCCCAACTTTTTTGTGAAATTTGCTCAACTTTGAGAACGCTATGATATCCGTAGATATATCAATATATCTATTAGCTACGGGAAAATTCAAATTCCCTGGTATCTAGGGGGAGCGATGCACTTGGACACGGTGCATTTGGACACAGCCAATCACAGCACCGTATGATTAGAGACATTTGTAGGGTCCCTTGGAACAGCGACTTGTGATTGGACTGTGTCCAATTGCCCCGTGTCCAACTGATATACACCCGCAGTACATACCTCGTCCGCACTGAAGCTCCGACTTGTCGGTAAACTCCACCATAGAAACAAGCTGGAGTAAGTGGTAAAGAACGCACATTCGACATAATAATTTAGTAAAATCTCACGATTATATCCATATTTTTTTTAACGTATAGTAAGATTATTTTTTTTTTTAAATCATACTTATTATAAACTATCATGTGCGAAATCTGAAGTGTAAAATATAATCCTTATTTAAAATAATATGTATCTTAATTTATTTACAAGAATTCTGTTTATACTATTCATATATGTGACGGAAGTTACAATTAAACTTACGAGTTTAAAATTACGGTTTGAAAATTAGTTATTAATTAATATTAATAATATTATTATTAATTAATATTAATAATAATATTAATATTATTTATTGATTAATAAATAATTTTCAAAACGTAATTTTGAACTCGTAAGTTTAATTGTAACTTCCGTCACATATATGAATAATATAAACAGAATTCTTGTAAATAAATTAGGATACATATTATTTTAAATTAGGATTATATTTTACACTTCAGATTTCTCAAATGGTAGTTTATAATAAATATTATTTTAATAAAATACAAATAATCTTATCACACGTTTAAAAAAATATGGATATAATCGTGAGATTTTACGCGAAATTATTACCTGATGTCGAATGCGCGTTTTTTATTTCTTACTCCAACTTGTTCCTTTGGTAAGATTGAGTTAGAAGATGTTATCATAAACTACAAAAGTACTAGATGGTCGTGCCTATCATAATTTCCGGGTCTGGTGGAACCAAATCTAATGACTCCTGCACACAGGAGTGCGTTCGAAAACATCACCCGTGTGTATTTTGTCACACTCAGATCGTTCGAAAACCCCTAGTGGGCACACTGACCATGCGACCATGGCCGTTCGAAAACCGTACTCCGTGGACCACTCGTGTGACTTTTCTCCACTCTCTTTTGCGCGGTGTGAATCGGTGGAGATGGTGGAGAGTGCGCAAAGAGTGCAATACAGTATGAAATTACTAAATTATTTATGGTTTTTTGTTCTTCGAAACATTCGTACAACCATTAGCCATCACGGTAAGATAAAAAATTTAAATACAGCAGTGTAGGTTAGCCAGGTTTAGATTTATTTCTATAGTGATGTATATTGTCAGAATATTGTCTTTAAATATAAATAAAGCTTATTAAGCTTTTTGTATTTTATAGGTTCTGAAATTTTCTTACGAGATACGAGGCACGTTAAAAGTCACGAATCAGTAACAATTTGTGAAAAAAAATGGAAAATTTAATCCCGGGTCGTCATATTTTATGCATGGATATTTAAAAAAATATACAAAAGGATGACAAGGGAAATGTCTATATATACGATGTTAAAGGTAAGGAGTAATAAATAAGTTTATAAATTTCCTTAGGCCTGGTGCCCACGATGCTAGAAATCGATCCGAGTTCTCGGACCGAGGAATATATAACCAATTAACTTTCCAGATAACTAAATTATAAATTAATAATTACTAAATTAATTAATTAATTAATTACTAAATTTATTAATTTATTATTATTTTGCTGAGAAGCAATTATAGCTAATACGCTTTCAATCATTTTGTACAACATATGTAGGCACAACACACATGTAGTATGTCACATTGACCATTCTTCCATGGCTGTTCGAAAACTCCTCTCGATAAAAACTCCACTAACCCCATCAAGTTCATCCACCACAGCCACTTTCCGTCGTGGACTTTCAGTGTTTTCGAACGCACC